TTGTCGAAGCAGCAGTCAAGGAGTTAATAGATTATGGTGCCATTTGGGAACATATGAGAGTATGGGGTCAGAAAAAGGCTTAGTGAGAATAAACGGTTATATAATTTAAGTAATTTATTTAAGGTAATAAAGAGGTATCTTACAGCATCTAAGTTACTTTTAATTCGGAAACAATGATGGCTTTACAAAAACAATAGACCATCGTTAAATATTAAACATGATTGATTTACTGTGCTAGCTTAGGCATTAAAGACAAGACATTTGTAGTTCTCTGTCAATCCGATGTATATTTTGCGTTTATTAGGTTAGGTTAAAATGTCAATTAAAGCGCTGCCAAAATATAATGACAAGTACAACACAAAATTTACTATTAAACCCCTTTTATTTTTGAAAACTTATTTTTTTTGTACCGGTCTGAATGAAATGGCGGTATTACATATAATACTGCCACTCCACTTCATTGAATTACTTCTTCATTATCAATTAGCTTTTTCGAAATCATATACTTTACTGTACTTTTGACAGGAGGAAAACCGTTTTTATCGATACCCAATATTTGTTGCTCGTGATTTAAGAGTTTTTTTTTTTTTTTTTAAAAAAAACAAACAAACCGGCATTTGCATTCTAGTTGTATTAGAACCCTATAATAATAACACGATACTTTTGTTAACGAAGCTACGGAATTTTGCTAATAACCTTTTGCATCCGCAGTAAAGTTTTTTCATATGGAGAATATGATCGTTCTTTCAAAAGAGTAGGTTTTGTAGTCTTGTCACCGTTAAATGTTGTATCACTGTTTAAATAGCCCAAGCATAAATAATTTATGAGCAAATATAATTCGAAATTATTATTATATAGCATTTCCTATACCTCGTATAACGATGTTTAATAATCCATGATAGCTCCAACTTCAATGTTTTGTAGAGACCCCATCAACCGCTTACCTCTAGAAGAATTTCAAGTCCCTTATTCTTAAAAGCGAATTGTTACTGTTTCGAAGTTGACTCCTGTCAGGCTCATGCAACTGCACGTTCCGTAGTTGACCCCTGCCTTCATGCTAATCATGACAGCTGCACGTTCTGTCGTGTGAAGTTCATTCTATCCAATCTTGCCCTTGTATTTGTTTACTCCAACCCCGTAAGTTCGCTTTTATACTAATCTGATTCGTCTATCTAGCTTTGCCTTAAAAATTTCAATTGTATGTTTGGTTTTAGTGTCAACGATTGGTCACATTTATTAAGTTAGCGGCAACATGCAGGAAATTAGGGAGTTATTACTCTATTCAACTCCATTCAATTCCATTCTGAAATGAGGTTCTTATTATTGTTGTATCTCTCTCTTGGGTGCTGTGAAGCATGGGAAAGTCTTAAAATAGTTTCGCTACATAGAGAATGCGTTCATCAGAGACAAAAGCATTAATGGAGAATATGAACGACTACAACTATTGTCAGTTAAACATGTTAAGGTATCCCGCACCGCTTGGTGGTACATGAAAAATAAAGTGAGTCATTGACTCAGATACGCCAAATGACTCAACTGCCGTAACGTAGCAAATACAGTATTATATAATTAATCAAAGAGGTATAATTATTAAATCGTTAGTTAGTGGAACGATAGAAATGTACGTGCGTATATAATAATAAACGCCACTAAAACATCATCTTCAGCCATCGTAGATCTTTTGATTTTCAATTACTTGTAACTTTATTATTACTGTCTTAATTGCTACATATCAGCATTTCAGACTGGAATAACAACCGACTGTATTATTTCCAGGCAGATTCAATAGCATGAATCGATCCTGTTTATCGAATGCGACTGTTAATTAATTATTTACAAACGCGTTTACTTTATTATAGAAATTCTCGTCTCTAATTATCATACCGCTATCGAGATTATACGAAATCAATCGTGAGTATTAAAAGCCCAATTTAAAGAGTTACAAACTTTAATTTGACAAAGAGTTGCCATTCTTAAATACCAAGGATTGATTACTGATTGCTCTCCCGCTGACAATATCTATTCAGAATTAGTTAGCTATGCACACTTTGTAATAAGCCGAATCATAGTTGCAGCAATAATAACACTGAAAAGTTTTCACATATCTCAGCTTTCTTTGTCAATATACACTGTTTATATCGAATGAAATAGGTTATACTATAGTTTCATGGTAGGGAATGCATCACAAATAAAGACACTTTAGCTCAGAAGATAACAATAGCGACTATTAATGAGAATAATAATTATAAAGACATATATCATTTATCATTCTCTTAATTTTTATAACTTAATGAATGAATTTATATACTGTATACATGTAAAAATCAACCACATTCAGTGTCACGAGCAAGTAGCAAAACGCCCTTTGCTCTGCTTAGTTTATTCAATATATCAACAAAAATTATAATTTATAGTGCTTACAATGAACAAGAATCATCCACCAATGATAATTAACTTGCATGACTCCATTATTCTCCCTGATTATTCAGCTCCTCTTGGAGTAAATTTCAACCAGACACCCTCTACCGCTTGATCAGAAAATAAAGCTTCTTTCCATGTAATTTCATTACATTTCTTAACCGCATCTATGTCAAATCTCTTAGTCAACAAACCTACTATTAATGTGAGTGTGTTGATTGTATATCTTTGTCCAAGACATGATCGAGGTCCAAATCCAAATGGAATATATGCCATTCTTGATCGTTTTTGAGATTCTTCAGGACGTTCTTTATCAACGCTCATGAATCTTTCGGGTTCAAACTTGTCGGGATTTTCCCAATGGTTGGGATTTTTGTGAAGCAGACGTACAGGAGTTATAATATGGGCGCCTTTTGGTATGAAGTATTTGTTTTGAACTAGATAATCTTGTGCTAATACCCTGATGTTCGAATTGCCAGTGCCGCCAAATCTTAAAGCTTCTTTGATGGCAGCTCGAGTATAGACTAAGCGTGTCAAATCGTCCAGCTTGGTCGGATTTTCATCTCCCCATACACGTTGAACTTCGTTTCGTATTTTTGTCTGAACATCTTTAAGCTCTGCAATTTTGTGCAAGACCCAAGATAATCCCACAAAATTATCATAAACAGCAAACAACAAGGTCATAACTTCGGCGTGAACAGTCTCTTCGTCAAGTTCTTCATCTTCGAGCAGAAGACTTAGAAAATCCGCTTTAGCTAAAGTAGATTCTCCACGATGTTTCAACTCTTCTCTGATTAGCCGATCGACTTCTGAGTGTAAGGAATCAAGGAGCGCATATTTTTTGTACCACAATTTGGTGTACGGCACCAAGGGGAAAAAGCTGTATCGTATGCTTATTAATAATTTAAAGAGGTCTGAAAAGTTCTTCGTTAAATCATTTCCAGAACTTATATCACCAAACACATTGTATTCATTCAGCTTATTCCATAATCTTTGTGCTTCATCTTGAAATTCGATAGTGACAGACTTCTCTCCGTTTCTTTGAGATAACCAATTTGAACCTAGTTCGACAATGATTCTACTAAACTGTGGCATGATATTTTCATACGGTCGTTTTGCAAACACCTTGTGGTATATTAATCTTCTCTCCTTTCCCGCTTGCCCTTCCAAGTAAAATAAACCTTTGTCAGTAAATAACTCCTTCATGAATTGTATAAACCCGGTCGGTCTTTCGGTATTAAGAATTTCCAATTGGTCAAGAATGTCGGGGTCATTGATGGATACATTAAGATCACTTGGGCCAAGCCAGTATCTGACCACAGGGCCATAAGTTTCATGAAGATTACGTTGAAACGGACCCAATCCCCCAGCACGTCCAATTTCGAGTGCGTTCCCCGTCAGTAGGGAAGCCGGCGGGCCAGGAAGATCATCTCCAATCTTTCTCCGATTGAGAAAATTCTGTAATTTTCGAATAGCAATAACGAAGAGAACAAGAACGATGGATAATCTATAATCGGACAATAATTCAGGTAGCGCCATGTTCGTTGATTTTGCATTTTCGTAAGTCCCCCTTGTATTTATGATTATGGCTAAGTAAATCGAATGCAAACTACAGTAACTCGAATTATCGAATACAATGTTTGTGTACCATACATATAAGGTTTAATTTATCCCTAAAAAATATTTTACATTCAATTACCAATTAGATTTGGTGTTACTGTAATCTAAATCTTATAACTTGTACTACTCAAACTTACTGTATAGTATGTATACTTCGTTTATATCCCCACTTTGGAACGGAGCAAAGTGGCATGATATTCAATTGGTGGTACAAGCCTGGCGACTGTATATCATAACAATCCCCGATGAGGAGATGTAAACCTATCAACTAAAGTTTCGTAACACACATTGTATCACTATGTAAACAGCATTAAGCTCGCAGTTCTTAGCGCATCTATCATGGTGCACAATAAATAGCAATAATAACAATATCGCAAACACGTATGAGAGTATTTTCATTTAATGAGACATTCTTGTAGCATAAATTTCTATGCTATGCTGGTGAATTATGTTTGCCATGTATATCACAATAGCATCCGAGTGTATTTCTGATCAAACCGTGGTAAGATTATTGCACGTCATTGATAGCCAAGTAACTACCCAGAGAGATTAACACAAATATATTTAATGACTCAAAAGTCTTCTATTTAAGACCTCATTTGGTATTTCAGATACAACATTGAACAAAGCTATGCGAATCATACAAACTTAATGTGCTACTTCTCTTTGTAGCTGTTGCCTGATGTGTGATAAATAAGAATAAACTCTGTGGCAATTCGCAATAATCTCTGATAAGAACAACGACGGCCTCGGGCAATGGAGCGTTGTTAGATCCAAATTTCGGTTTAATTAGCAACTCAACCTGAACAACAAATGAGGATTATTCAACTGAATTTTTTTGTTTTCAATAGTCAAAATACTCCCAAATGCAACTAACTCAACAAGCAACCGAGAGATTGCGAAAAGAGCTATCTGAAAAAGGAGCAGAGTTGCTATGCACAACAGCTTTTTCACACAGCCCGTGTCCTCCATCGACAAACAAAGTCCGTTAGTTATCTTGTGAAGATGTATTTCAAAGAAGAAATAGAGTTGTAATTAAAAAAATATTTACTGCTAACTATAAACAATCCCTATTGATTTGTCTCGTATGTAGCCTTGCACGTCGTACGTTAGTAAAATAAACTCAAGTTCGGGTAGTTTTAGTTCCATCTTGATAGCACGCGCCAAGATAAATTATACAAACTACTTCTAGATATTTGAAACGTATTCTTTATTTACACAGATATGTTCTAGTGATCTAAACTGAAATTGTCACATTTGCCATCTCAAGTGCAGCAAATTATATCGTCATAGCGAACGTACGGTAATCATACTAATACGTCATTACTGTTCATAATCGACAGAACCACCCACCAAAATGATATCCTTTTTAAATTTTGTTACTAGTATGTCTACAATTAGTAACTCTTCCGTGGGGGAGTAAATTTCGTATAATCTGTATGTTGTGTATCACATCCATTTTGTGGACTTTTCAGCAGTATGATGTTAAACTGAATATTCATAACGCGTACGTTCAGGGTATTAAACAATGTGGCAAGTAGTGCGTCAGTTGTTGCTGTAAATCCTTATCATCTTCTACACTATATACTGCATGTATGTACAAATAACGGTCATCAACCCAATTTTCTTGGCATAGACAATACACTAGATTAACTAATCAATAACTGCCGAGTTTTGCTTATAGTCTAATGCTCTTTAAATGTTATTGGCAAGAACAAAAGTAAGAATTAGTAGTATTTAACTTTCGACTAAAACAGAATACGGCATTATGATTTTCTAACCAACTATTATTGCGGGGCATACAATTAGCGCTACGCTACAGGAGACTAGGACATAAATCACAATCAATGAAAAATATCTGGCAACTTTCTATACTCAAAAATTTTATGCATGTCTTTAATCAATTACGTTGTGCAGAGCAATAAAGCCTGTTACATGGGATATAATAATGTATCGATAATATATTACCGTCTTTCTTGTTTTATGCTATTATACATTTCATTATTATTATCCAATGTTATCAAAAAATAAAAAAGACGAGCATTAACAGTTTGGGTTATTGCTTCATCTCGTCTAATTTCTGAATGGCTTTCTTGCATACTGTTTTTGATTCCTCCATTACTCAACATTTCTTGGAGTAAAATTTAACCAAATGCCATTTGCTGAATGCTCTGAAAATATGCCAGCCTTCCAAATTATCTCATCCTCCTTAGTAACGGCATCTATATCAAATTTTCTAACGAGCGAGCAAGCTATCAACGTAAGTGTATTCATCACATATCTCTGTCCAAGACATGACCGAGATCCAAACCCAAACGGGACGTACGCCATTCTTGGTCTATTCTCAAATTTCTCGCCGTTTTCCATAAATCTGTCAGGATCAAACTTGTCAGGATTACTCCAATAATCTGAATTTCGGTGAAGAACACGTATAGGAATTACAACAAAAGCGTCTTTGGGAATAAAGTATTTGTTCTTGATAAGATAGTCCTTGTCTATAGTTCGAAGCGTTATATTGCTGGTACCACCATATCTCAAAGTTTCCTTGACAACAGCTCTGACGTAAGTTAAACGAGTCAAATCATCTAGTGATGTTAGTGTCTTATCTCCTAATACGTCTTGTATTTCTTTTCGTATTCTCTCTTGGATATGTTTATGTAACGCTATTTGGTGTAAGAAAGTCGCCACTCCCATAAAATTATCAGTGACAACAAATAGTAGAGTTAAAACCTCATCAAAAAATGACTCTTCGTCAAGCTCCTCATCATTAAGTAGAATGCTCAAGAGATCGCTTCCTGTAGGCTTTGCTCCTCCACGGTTTTGCAATTGCTCTTTAATTAATCGGTCAACTTCTCTACGTACGTCCTCAAGGAGAGCACGTTTCCGGTGCCACAATTGAGTATATGGCAAGACGGGAGTAAATCTGTACCGTATTTGTAATAATACCTCAATAGCCTCTTCAAATTTTGCGCTTAAACTTTCAGAGCTAGCAGAGTTACCAAATACGTTGTAATCATTGAGTTTGTTCCACAAAAAACGTGATTCTGCCTGAATATCGATAGTGACGGATGTTTCTCCATCTTTCCTTCGCATTAGCCATTCTGTGCTCCGCTTGTTAATAATTTCGCAAAATCTTGCTATAACAGCCTCGTATGGCCTTTTTGCAAATACCTTGTGCCATATTAATCTTCTTTCTTTTGCGGACTGTCCAGTCAAATATATTAAGCCACGATTGCCAAAGAATCCCTTCAAGAATTCAACAAAAGCTAATGGTCTTTCGGTAGTCTGGATGGATAGCTGTTCGAGAATGTCGGGATCGTTTATTGTGACATGAAGTTCATTTGGAGCAGCCCAGTACTTGACCACAGGCCCATAAATTTTATGGAGATAATGTAAATAAAAAAATAATCCTCCAGCACGCCCAATGTCAAGCATGTTACCAGTCAACAATGAAGCTGATGGGCCGGGGATATTATCTGCGCTTTTTCTCCATTTGAGATAATCACGCAGTTTGAGGAGAGCGATAACAAAAAATACCGAAAAAATTACAATTTTAAAGTCGGATATCAATTCAAAAAGCACCATTGTTAATAAACAAATACGAGCGATCGATTAGCAGGTGTGATACTATAAATATTAAACCTTCTGTAAAAAGAGAGATTAATAGCATATTTTATGTCTAGCAAGCTGACTATTTATGTTCGATGATGCGATGCTAGATGAAGCCATTAGTTATCTAAACGTATGATTTTCCATAGCATCATACTAGCCAATTGAATAGCCCATGCGCGTGAATATTCTGTTTACTCCGAATTCCGGTCATAAACAAAGCAAATATTTAACAAACGTGGTTAGTAGTCTTTCTTCATTATGAACTTTAATTAATGATTTTTTTACTTGATACTTGTTTAGTAAATTAGTGCTTGGCCAGTAGCTATTTTTTTAGGTTTAGGCTGACGGAATATCCCAGGAATGGAAAAATAAAGCATCGGCAACTTTAATCTCTAGTTGTATGACGATTTGCCTACCGAACGTTGAATTTATTGGTAAGAGAACGAGAGATGCATGCGGGCAATCTATTGTATTGCATGTCTATGGTGGCATATCAATGATTAGTTTAGATCGTTACACTGGATGCTCATCAAGTGGTCATTCAAATCAGAAAGGGATTTAATATAATCGTGAACGAGTGCAATTGCTATTTATTTCATATATAGCGTAGCGAAACCTATAATATATTAAATTTCGTTGAGGAACACTATTCGTTACAAAACCAATAATAAACAGGAGTTATTTACAACTGCAAGGATACATTGTTACAAAGACTATTAACATAATTATGCAATGTTATTTGTCGGAGATGTCCAAAAATCGAGAACGAAATAATCTGCTCGATAAACACAGTGGTGACTTGCCTTTATAGTACATAAGTTACCATTTTAATCACAAATACGAATTCATTTGTGTAGAAATAACATCGACAGTACGTGTGTAGCGTCAACGTCATAATGTTTGATTCAATAATATTGTTTGCAATAACAAAATATTATCAACAAAGGAATGTTTGTCCAAACTTTGGATGCAAGACCATTGTAATATCGAGTCGACTTAGAGGGCTAACTTCTCTCGTCGTATACAAGAACCTGGATTAACATAAAAGTACAGTATTTCAAATCAGAGATTGCCAAGCTCCAAGTCGCATCAATTTCTATTGGTAATCATGTGGACAATAGATCGACCCAACATTTATACTTTAACCGGAATAGGTTTAATTAGTAAAAGCCCTCCCCTTGTGTCATGTCGATAGCAAGGAATATTTTTCGGAAGGACATAAACCAGCATTTATCATTATTGGACATTCCTTCATTAAGCAATATGTTGCCCGTTTATCCAATTAACAAGTCGTTTTCTAGACATCTGTCAGAGTTGTTTGTCATTTAGAAACCTAATTATGTGTAAATTACATCCGTATGAGCTTATTCTTGTAATATTTGGTCTAGACCCTATTACGTTCAAGGCTACACCTGGTATACCGTTCAAATGTAAAAAAAATACGCCTTAACTCTAATCTAGTCATGATACGCCTTGGCAGTATTTAGACATGTACCATAAACCGGTTTTTTTCAGAAATAGACATCTCCGATACTTTGGCAATCCCGATGATTATTCCTGTTGATTGATTGTTTGATTATTGGTCGTCCCCCCCCCCGATGCGCCTATCTTGCGATACCAAAAAGTTATCTCATAATTTGAACGTAAAACGTTCTCACAATTTGTTTGAACAAAGTAGACATATCGGTTATATATTTCGGGTAATATAATTTCTATTATGCGTGAATTATTTTATGATTGACTAAAACTTTCAAGGCAATTGATGTCTGAGAATATTGTGGCGTTTATACACGTAGCCTCATACATCATGTTCCATAATTTGTCAGTAAAGTATCTTTCAAATTAACCAATAGACTATGTTGAAGGGCACATATTTACGGTTAATGTAAAACTTGATATGTGGAGATAGCACGCATTGGAGTCGCTACTTTGTCATTTGAGATGGCAATGCTTACAACAATGTCATCAAACACTGTAATTTCATATTCATATCAACTTGTTTATGTTTTGGTAAGTCAGAAGGTAACTATTATTAAGAAACTTATAGTACGACACTTGGTATAGATTCTGATAATAAATACAGAGTCAGATTCAATGTCATTTAATTATTATAATACGATCAAAGATTGCTTACATATTACATCACATGTGTATAAACCAACAAAACCGTAGGCAACAAGTAAAAATAATTTCGCTAAAACCAGTACAAATACAACGCGTAACCAGGTAGTATTAAGAAAAACGTATTGTAATATTCTTCATGGTTGATAATAGTAGTACCGATGTGTCAGTATTAGACGAGACAAGGTTCATTTCGACACTGGCACACGTTATATTACACGTTCAGTTGATCCAATGTAGTCACCACGCATCATAACTGGTAAAAGGCATTTTTCATTTACAGCACGACAAATTCTCGATTAACGATATTATTCTTACAATATTCATGGTTTGTAGCAATTATGATGGTTAGAATACTCTAATAGCAAACGTTATTCTTAGAGAGATTGAGCGATATGATCCGGCGATCATGGGGAATCGCTAAATGTGTAAAGTAGTTGATGTGGTATTCAGAAATATTATGCGTTCACTACATGAAGTTGACTTGGAGACTGTTGAGGTAAAATTCCCTGGCATGACAATCTTCCAGAGGCTATCGTATCTTTGACCGAAGCATTTAGATTATAAAATGTAGAAGAAAACTGATTGTTCGGCTATCGAATAAACAATATGGAACAATAACACAGATTGACTTTTTTTTACTATTTATATGTATATAGAATTGCTTGTTTGAGTGTTTAGTATACAGTATATGAGATTAGTATCATACACTATGAAGTAATATAATCGAGTATCACATATAACAATTCTAAAATGGTGTATTCCTATACTTAACATGTATTAACAATAGTAAGTATTATAACCTCCGCTTGACGGAAATGTTTATACAAGGTCTTTATGTAACAAGGTGTTATAAAAATAGCCGCTCAATGTTACAGAGTGTTATGTTTAAAGTCATAGACAGATATAACATAAGTATAACAACAGGACATTGTGTAGGTGTAAACATGTGCCAGTAAACCTAACCAGCTAAATAAAGACAGGACCAAAAGCAGTTGAACCTAAACAACTGATGTCGGTAATATGAATATAATTCAATGTATAAAAAACTAATTAATTGCTTATATATTATAGGCTTTATTCTGTTAAGTACATGTATAATATTTCACCACACCATTATTTATATGGTCGACTCCAAGCCTTTCACCAGCTATGAAACCAAAAATACCTCCCAGTCTGCCCACTTAAACAAATAATTATTCTGATTACAATCAGGTCGTATTGAAATTGGGTATGACGTTGTACCAATAGAGGTCTTATCATTGGTAAAAATTAAATCTTTAGAAAACATAGGAAAGCACCCTCACCATCCATAATGGCATGATCTTTATCTACAACATTACTTACTATGCTTTCTCCTATGTTATTTTCATGAAGAAATATAAAACTTTCACTGGTTGACACATGTCCATAACCTTGTGAACCCCATGCAATTGGGTTGTATCCACCAAATATCTCTTTAGTACCCTTCACTTTTCCAACAACAATTGTAGGTCCTTTCTTTTCAAACATGTTTCTGGGAACATCCCAAAATTCAATATGACCACTTCTGTTATTAAAACCAAAATCATCCCTATCCCTACTATGTCTATAAAGTAATTTAAGTTTGTAAGAACAAAATTCTTCAGTTACTTTCTTAATATTTTTGAAGATCCATAATGCATGACATTTGTTAATGATAACTGAATCAACATCATCAAGTTGGGAATGTTTGGTTTATAATCTTTTACTGCATAATAGTTTAATATTGTATGACGCAATTTTCTTGGTAATAGTTCCTCATATGGAACAATCTTTTTACTGTAATCCTCAGAAGACATATCAAAAAATCTTATATGAGGTATACAGTCAGCTATGACTTGTTTAGCTGTGCTAACTTCATTTGATGACCAGTCATCTGGATCATCCACAAGTCCAGGAACTTGTTTAATAGCCCATTGTACAGTTGATATCCAAACATCACTCTTGTCCATATTAAGTTCATCACTTACACTCTTTAGAAGATCAATCAAAGTCTCTTTTGGAATATCACTGGATTTAAGGACAATGTCTGGAGATGATGCCATAATTCTATTGCAATAACCTACGAGGTTTTGCAAAGAGCCATTGGATAAGGCACATCTGTGGACAGTGAGAATGTTTTCTTGCACCCATTTCTCATTATTATTAATCAAATAATTCCCGATTGCACTAGTGAGATCATCTAGCTCTATCTTGCTGGCTCCTTTCAGAAGACTAATCCAATCGATGTCCTCACACAAATCAGAGGGCACTCTTCCAGACCAGTATACATAAACCTATAGTTCCATTACAAATTTGTTAGCTCTACATTAATAATGTTTTGCAATATTAAATATTACTGAGCTCTTACCTAAGTAAAACTTCAAAAACATCGGGCGTTACATCTTCAAGTTCGATAACCGTCTTTTGAACGTCTTTAGGCTGTTCTGTATGTCCCATGATTTCATTTTCAAGATATTTACTTCTAGTACACAACACAATACTACTGTATGGGCAAGGAATATTTTGTTGTCCGGCTCTTTTCCAACATTAATTGAAATATCTGCATATTTGCCACTTTCATAAAGTGTCTCATAGTCTGATGACAGACCTGAAGTCAAATTAACTATATTAATATTAATATTGCGCATTTTCAGAAGGGTTTAAGTCGAGGTTAATTGTGGATTCCATCGAGTCTGGGGATCTGTATGACGTAATCAGCTCGAATGTGAATGGCTAAGAAATATGATATGAGTTGCTTTTCGATAGGTTAGGAAAAAAAAAGTTCAGTTTATCAAAAACCTTTGAAAGAATAAGGATTTCGTAGCATGAGTAAAAATGAGGCGACTTGTTAACATACATATATATTGCCGTAAAGGTTAATACTTAAGAACCATCTCATTTACGTCAATACAAATGATAAATTTGACCGCAAATAAGACGCTTTAAAAATATTACTTAGCTATAACATAAAGGTTTCATATGATGGATATTATTAGGATAACATCAAACATATTCGCTTCGTTGATTGCAGCAGTACTTTGATTAACCTTGTGGTACGAAGAAACGCTTTTCACGCACTGTCAGCACTATAACGTACATCTTTGACTTTGTTGATAATTCTAACGAAAACGAGGTTAGAATGTATATTAGTTTCAATGACGAAATTAATTTGCGTGTGGTCCCTTTCATGGCGTAAATTACATATGCACATCGTGAACTAACTTTATTTTCAGTTAGAACTCATTAAAATCTATGTGTGTAAGCGTATTATATCTAATTGGAAGAAGTGGTAACTCCTTTACGAGTTTATCCATCGAATCAAATTACTTCCTCCCATTCACGTAAATTCATTGATTGTGATTAGCATTATTTCCGAACTTTGAACTTAGATACAAAGTAAGATTAAATATCACTTTAGTTAGGATTACTTACCTTGATAATAAGTAATCCTGGCCTTTTATCACATTTGAGAATAACAGTTTTTGGTATTGCTCCTCGAAAACAATTTTTATATAAACTGTTCCGTAACCACGAGACCCAATCTCTTCGAGTTCATCAAAGTCAGTATATTGCTTATTATTATACTTTACATGTTCGTTAATCTGCTTCAGTAGATGGCTCTTGAGTGATATAAAATATCCAAATATTGGCGTTTTTTTAACACTTTTATTGTCATTTTATATAATAAACAATATACATATTGGACCTTAATTATCGCTGGCCGATTGGAAACGTGAAAATCGCAGATCTCCAAAACCACGGACCTTGTCTATCGAATTTCGCAACTGGCAAATATGATTGTTAATAAACGCGTTTACTTTTGTATAGAACACCCCCGACTTATCCCTACGGATTATCTTATCGATAGAGGATAAATAATAATAACATAACTGCAGCGAATATTACACAGACTGATTAATTGAGTATAAATGGAGGTCAGCCAAGCCTAGAGCTAAAACCCAAGACTAATTACTGAACACTATCCACGCCAAATTAGTATTATCAAATTATGCTAAAGACAGAGCACGTTTATTTATCTTTTTCTGTATGTCATCAATTGTGTGAATTGCTATATAGCAATTTAGTCTATTATAGTATGTGTTTGTTAAGCAACCTGTGACATTTACGCAATATGCCATTTCAAACTATTCTTCACTTCAAATCGTAAACGGCTTTACTTTATATTGTTCTTGTTTTTGACAAAGATCTATTGATTTATTTATGGCTGTGGCTCAAATCACCTGGTTCTCTGTATGCATGGTTGTAAAAAGAATATTATATAGTGCAGATATTGCATACTGGAACTTGTTAGCTTCCAGAGCCATATATGATGCATTTTTACTCTCGTATCGAAGAGCGGGTTAAACATTCTTTGTGTAATAGACTCTTAGTTCTAGTGATGCTAATAAAAGTTTTCAACTAAACCACCAGCTGTGTTGTACCTCAGTTTGGGGCTCTCAGTTCTGGACTGAGTCGGGTCCCAAACTGAGGTACAACAGCTGCAATGTGCAACCGTTGTATCATCACATATTGCAAACACTATAATTATGTTTATTAATTCAATAAGTAGATATCTTTCATACAGTCCTTGCATTTAATCTGTAAACTTATTCATGACACCGAGACGGCTCCATATTCTTCCAGACCTAAAAAATAACAATTCTACTATTTAGTTTCTTTGTGCATCGTCGGATAAACAACATATTTGTTTGTAAAACGACTACAAAACAGAATGTGCCACTGTTAATATAGTATCACTCGTTATCTTGATATTGTTCTTATCTTGAAGGCCGATACCATATTTGGATTAATAGTTTCCCCGGTTATCTATTTATTTTCTACACACTGAATAAATTTGAGCAATTATTATAACACACCACCCTAATTGATTCGGTAGCCAATATACACAGATTACGAGTAATATGGCGGTGATGCTTAATTTTGCAGAATAACAAAGTCATATAATTTTATTTGGTGGTTATAGCGCATCAGTTCAAAGCCTCAATTTTCTGGGTACTTTTCAGCCGGGCATATCCCGACAAACACACTGACTAAATTGTATATCCGAATATTCGGGTGTAACCAAATTTTGTCAAACGAGTGAGTAAACAAACAAGTGTAACATACCATAAACATCTGCCATATAATTAGGTTCTTCTAATCACCGTTTCCACAATTCGAAGCACCACAGAACATGCATGCATGTAAACACAAAACAATAATGTAAATTTGCAATTAGGTATTTAATCTAGACGGTTAATACGCTTCGACTAACTGAAAAAGTCTCAAATACATATTAGTTTAATAAAATATATTCAATACAGATTACTCACTCACGATGGTGACTAGCTAATGTAACTAAATTACACCGCCAAGTTTTCAAGTATCGGTACATCTACCCATATATTCTTGAATGTTATGACGATGAATTTGCTAGTGGAAACTGTAAAATGTAGTGGTAACGTTTAATTACTGCTGACGGGTAATATAAAAGTGAGAGCGATAAAACTTAACGATTGTGGGAATACATATTTTATAGCGTAAAGACTTGTTGTGAAAATACGTTACTACACGTATGTTGCTAGATGGTTTTATGCTTAAAATTATGTCTTGTATATGTAAAGTAAGGGCATGTTAATTAGTTTAACTGTAGATGCTGTTACCTCTCCTCTCCTCTCCTCTCCTCTCCACAACACCAACCACAAGTTGGGTATATCGTCGTCATCGATACGCAAGTTTATTCTCCAGCTTGATAAATTTTCTGTCTCAACAATCAGTTGACCTAGCATATTTGTAATAGACTATTTGTTTAGGCTTGTACTAAATATTTAAGTTTAGATTCCTATCAAACCTTAAAGTATTATTCAACGAGATCTTATAATACTATTGAGACGTTAAGGGTTTTATTTACGGAGACGTTCATATTGGCGCGGCTATCAATAATAACAAATGCACACGATGTCTTACCATCTTCTTTGTTTATGCTTGAAATTTACCGTTGTGCGAATCATATTCAACACCGATTTGACACTACTCATTCACCGCATATCTAAAGAAATAATCTGTATTGTAAAAAGAAACCTTATTGTACCATTCAGGTGTAAGTGTAATCGACTTTTTTCATAGCACCCCAGCATAAATACGCGGGTTACTAGGAGCACACGAAAATCCCAACTTCTTTCTTTGTTGCCCCTTCTCATCATCGAAAAATAATGCTCGAATTATTGACCTTTATATCCAATTCTATCTTCGTTGCTCTCCTTACCATCGTTATCCACAAAGTATATGTTTTCCTTAAATGGAGAAAAAGTGCAGATAGCATTCCCGGCCCGCCAGCTTCATTATTAACTGGCAACATCCTTGACATTGGGCGTGCAGGAGGATTAGCGCCGTATCTACAATATCTCCACAAAACTTATGGCCCCGTCGTCAAATACTGGTCTACACCAAATGAGCTTCATGTGACGATAAATGAACCAAATATCCTCGAACAGTTAGACATTATGACTACCGAAAGGCCTTTTAACTTTATCGAATTTTTAAGGGGCTTTTTCGGTGACAAGGGTTTAATTTATCTATATGATGAACCGGCAAAAGCGAGAAGACTCACGTGGCACAAGACATTCGCAAAGCGTCCTTACGAAAAGATTATACCGAGATTTATCGAAATAATCAACAAGCGAGGTACAGACTGGCTATCGAAAAGAAACGGAGAAAAATCTGCCAAAATCAATGTTCAGGCCGAAGCTCGATCGTTGTGGAACAAACTGAACGAATACAATGTATTTGGCGACGCATCCACTTCTGACAATCTAAGCGTCAAGTTTGAAGAAACTATCGAACTATTGTTACAAATACGATTCAGCTTTGCTCCCGTCTTGCCATACACTGAAATATGGAGGAAACGAAAGGAACTTCTTGACTATGTGCGCCATGAAGTCCAACGATTAATCAAAGAACAATTGGACCGCCGTGGTGAATTCCTAGCCAATGGAAACGATTTCCTAAGTCTTTTACTCAATGACGAAGAACTCACCGAAGAGTCATTCTTTGACGAAGTTTTAACTCTACTGTTTGTCGTAACGGACAATTTCATGGGCGTTGCTAACCTATTGCATCAACTGGCAGAACATAAAGATGTCCAAGAACGAGTACGAAAAGAAGTTCAAAACGTATGGGGAGATAAATTTCCCACCACCGTGGATGACTTGTCCTGTCTGACTTATACCAGAGCGGTCGTCAAAGAAGTTTTACGATTCTGCGGTACCAGTAATATCACTCTCCGAAAGTTACAACGCGAATATTTCATCCAAAACAAATACCATATTCCCAAAGACGCTCTTATTATGGTTCCACTAAGCATTATTCACCGAAATCCTAATCACTGGAACGAGCCCGACAAGTTTAATCCCGACAGATTCCTAGAAGAATCTCGGGAAAGATCAAGAATGGCATTTGTTCCATTTGGTTTCGGAGCTCGATCATGCCTAGGACAAAGATATGCTATGAACACGCTTACGTTGATAGCAGGACTGATGGTTAAGAGATTTGATATAGAGTCTATCACCAGGTATGATGACGTTGTCTGGAAGGAATCTATATTCTCGATACACGCATCGGATGGCATCTGGTTGAATTTTATTCCAAGAATGGTAGAGTAAATATTCCTGGGGGGTTAATCATTGTCGGGTAAATTACAGAGTATATAGTAATAATGTAATCGAAAAATCATATTTTAATGGGGTTTTTTCCCGTGTTTCTCGCGGTATCAAGTAATATCATTGAAACTCGTCTTTTTATCAATAAAAACTTGAAAAAAGAAAAAGAAATGTTCATGCTAACATGAATGGATACGCTTATTATTATGCTATAAATAGCTAGCTAATAGATAACATGGCATACATTAATTAACTGTGCTCATTACTGTTATCGGTTACGTGCGGTATGAATATTTGTGTGGACAAAATGCACATTGTTTAATGAATATCCGAACAAGCAAGCTACAATTATGAAGATGCCCAATTAAGAAACTTTACGTTTCCAAACTTTATAACGCTCACCTTCGATCGATCGATTCAACTGCTAAATGTTGCACGATTTGTGCGCATCGACCCAATCAACCGCAGTCCTGCAACAATTTGTTTACTCAAGAGATAATTGTATTACCATTACTTGTGATACAGGGTGTATTAATTAGTGTTTATCCACATTGTCAACGTCATAGAGCTAAATTAAATGTGTAATGCTAATTAAAAAGCATATGTCTTCAATACCATGATTATCATGGTTCTGATGTAAAAAAGACCGATTACATATCCCGTGTCTGAGACGGCTGAATACAATTGGTAGATATTTAATCTTTGAGTTCATTAAGGAAGCATACATTCATTACCAATTATCTCTTTCGCTATTTGGGTCGGTTGTGTACGATGGCAGATTAGCGTATCGGAATAATGATAATAATCCCTACACCAAGTATCAGTTTCCAACGTACTGCGACAAGCACGAGTTCTTGTTTGTCTGCTTGCATCACTTGGAAAGTGATTGTTGTGAGCTAAAAAAGGAGCCCATATTACGAGTGATACAATAAATAAATATCACTTTAATGGAATTCCTGTTGACAACTCACTTTGTTAGATCTCAGATTACGGATTACGTTCGATTCATTAAAGATGTTTAGTCGAAGCATTAAGCATTGACCATGGCCACATGTTTTCGTCAATGGACCGAGAAATGTGTCTAGATTTCGGATATACGACATATTAATCCAACACCCGACAGCGATTGCCCTAGTTATTATTTTAAATCCTGTCTCGTTGTGATAGGAGATTCTGACACACAGATTATGTAAACAATAGACTCAATACTTTTTAGGCCATATTTGAGGGGCGTAGGCTCTATATGGCAGCTTATAATTTTATCACATAATGATAAGAGTATAAAGAAAATGAAATTATTAATATTATGCCGCCGACCTGCAGGCTTTCCCCAGACCTCTTACCCTTCCCCCCTTCTATTATGGAATGCTAGTCCGAATATGCTCCTATTACTTGACCACAGATTGTAGATCGCTTCTTATGCAAAGAATGTGTGTTTATCGGATGAATTATTTCCCGAAATTGAGAGAACGCTACATAAATCACGCCGGTCACACAAGTGCAAACTTAAATATTGATTATTTGTTTGTGAAAAAATAAATCCAAGAGAAATAGGTCTGTAGAAAGTAAGGCTTTCTTGGATAATCGTTGCACAAGTTGAACGCAAATACAAATACCTTGGATATAGCTTTGTGCCCTTATTCTTGGCAGAATCAAAATAACAAACTGATTCCATATATTAACCCCTCCATTAATACACTGACCAAACCTCCTTCTCCTCTCTTTTTTTTTTCATTCATTCATTCATTCATTCCATTCATTAATCCACCTTTCAGACACCCTATCAGTTATTTTATAATAATAATATACGATCATGGGTGGCTGTTGCTCTGTAATGCGCCGTAAAGGCAAAAGGTTCTTGAATGTAAATAAATTCGAAATGATCGATGGACGACGTTATCAAAGACTTGACGATTCAAATTATGCATTACCAAATGATATCGAAGAAGAAGAGAGATTGGATTTACAACATAACTACATGAAACTTGGGTTTGGCGGTACAAACTTTTCAGCACCTGTTGACGCACTTTTAAGAAGAGGTGCAAGAGTTTTGGATGTTGGGTTAGTAATAATAATAATAATAATAATAATTAAATATGTTTATGAGAAAAACGAAAAGCATTATACATAACTCTTCCTCCTCCGCATGCCATTTTTTAATACTACAGCTGTGGTTCGGGTACTTGGGTTCTTGAACTAGCCAAAGAATATCCCAATTCTTACTTTGTCGGCTTGGATCTTGCACCCGTAATCCTTCCAGAAAAGAAACCCGATAATGTCGAGTTCACAGAATACAATGTGCTCGATGGACTTCCGTATAAATCCAATTCATTCGACTTTGTATTTGCCAGAATTCTCCTGTCAGTGTTTACAAGGGCTCAATGGACGGAACTTGCTGTTCCCGAGTATGCGAGAGTTACCAAGCCAGGTGGATGGGTAGAATTGATGGAATTCGATGAAGCATTAAAGGGTGGATGTGAAAATGTTGATCGGTTATCTAAAGCATGTAAGTGTTGTGTTGTTGAAAGAAAACTCTGGCGAAAATATGAAATCTAAATTGACGTTATCAAGTCAGATCAAATCAATTCGGTTTTCAGTGATCACGTTTTACTCATGTGTAGTTTATTGGCTTTATTTTAGGGAGTGATTTTGCCGATTCAAAGGGCTTAATTGCATCACCGGGTTATGATATATGTGACTTTCTTAAACAATCAAATTACTTTACAAATGTAAATTATGAAGAAAGACATATTCCAGTTGGGCCAATGGGAAGCCAAATTGCTGAATTGGTGAGGACAAAAAAGCTATTTACATGAAATCATACAAATCGTCGTCGTTCGCTAAGCGATATGATAATGTTTTTTCTTTCAGGGAATCCGAGATTGGCGTGATGTCTGGCGAGCAATGAAACTCGTCTTATCAACAACCATGCAGGTATCTAGCGAACATTACGATGCAATTGCCGAATTAGCATTACAAGAGTTGATGCAATATGGCTGTACGTGGATAAATATGAGGGCGTGGGGACAGAAGATTGATTACGGTTTTGTAGCCGATCAGGATCACATTTAACATTGTATGGTCTAGTTCGTCTGCCAAGTTTATTTATTCGAGATAAGATTAAGAAATAATGAAATAATGTATTTAGTTATGACTCTATATTTGATATATGTATGTAAAAAATTGGCGTAATAATAGTTTTCTTATTTATCTAATTTAGATAGATGAGGGTGGCAATCAGCGTGATATTAACGCCAAAGCATGTCTGACAGCGCAGAAACTCCCCCATTAAATGGTGAGTTGAAAAAGGGGTCTTAGTACATGCTACGGACAGCTGCGTTATCAGCCATTTTTTCTATAAAAAAAAAAGAAAAAAGAAACAAAGTATTATAAGAATATTTTATTCCCCCGCCAATCCTATGCGATTCCCGTTTGTCTCCCCTGCATTATCGTAACAAGCAGACAAACGATTTTGGCATATACGATTTTCATTTCTGTAACTATATCATAACTTATAGGCTTTCACAACATTAATTAAAAACAAGTCTTTATCTATGGCCCTTATTTCAAAAATTTATTTCTGTGTGTGTTATCTATCTCCCATCAATACCCATAGTTTGTGACACAGACAAAGCATGCTTTTTCGATTTGGAAACTCATAATACTTCGATAGCCAATCTGGGATTGGGTTCCATCCCTTTGGGTGATAGAGAATCTTTAAGCAATAATTACGTATTATAATTACTATTGCCCTCCCCCCAACATTTAACGTTTTTGTCTTGAGTACTTTTGCCCTCTGTTTCAGGTTTTCGCTTTATTTCCCTCTCTTTTCTTATCGGTACACTTTAACCAAGAGATTGACTTTAGCCCATGCCCCGATTCAAAAGACTCGATAACCGCCACACCACACTTATTCTTATGTACATATATGTATTGTAGATTACTCACCTGTAAAAACAAATATGCACAGGATAAATAGCTTTACCTTGTGTCAAACTCTATAATCAATTTTCACACTTTTGACCATTAGTCCTTCTTGGCCCCCCACTTGTGCTAGATTTCCCACTGAATTAGCCAATATCTTTCCCTGGCAATTTGTCTCGCTGAAAAAGTCAACCTTTATGTCTTGCGTTGATACTGTCACACTCGATACTCGGATCGGAGTTGTAAAGTTTTCACATCGAGGCTCTGGCGTTAATATTTCTTTATACGAGCCAGTGTAGTTTTGGGAGTCATAAAGGCGCACTGCTTTCAAGTCTACGTAACCGCCAACGGTTGACATTTTGCTTGGTGATGATGAAAATGCTTGTAAAAATGAAGTTTCTGAGAGTATTGTAAAGATGACAAAGAACAGATAAAAGTGAAGCCTCTTCATTTATATGTAACTTGTTCCTTGGCAAGCTCGCTCCATTTATAGCTGTCAAAAGATAATAAACATAAGAACAGCCACGTTCACGTGATGTTATTTGGTATGGGGCTAAGTTGTGAGAATTCTCGCCATTCGTAAGATGACTGAGCCGTTTGTTCTCACCCTTTTGTAAGCGGAGCATGGAAAACTACACGCGTGAGGAATACCCAAAACGTAATACAGATGTGATCTATAGCTAAGTTTTGTTGATTAACCTTATATCGCATATATTATAATCTTCATGCATCAGATAAAGTATCTAGAGAGTTTGTTCATTTAACTCGGTATATGTGATTAATTTGTATCGTGACGTTTCGTTTATTACCGATGCGGCTCATATACGCAGATCTCCAGTCTATATTCTCTTCCTCAATTCAATCTTTATTTTTTCCTTTTAAATCAAGCGCGAACATTATTAACAAACCATACACAGTCCAACACAATGTCCGGTGATATCCCGAGATCTATTCCATTCTGAGGCGTTTGGAACGAACGTTATGACCCTACGCTCATCTCGATAAATTTGAAAATTGCAGGGCAACTATCACTCCATTCACGGCTGCAGGAAGCCTTTCAAGTTTGTCGAATCTTTCCAGAGTATAGCAAACTTGGTTGTATACTCCAATATATAACACCGACTGCCCAAGTTGTAAATAGTCCATCAGAAGAGTCAAGAAAAAAGGTCATTGAATCGGGGTTAGTCCGCGAAGACTCTGGTAGGGGGTACCCATCTAGTTATTGATTCATATGAATTGATGGTGAGCCGATAATGAATCACTCGGACCAAACGCGATGAACACCCTTCAAAAACATACTCTGAGCTTTTCATCAGCCATAAAATCAAGCTAATGTAGGTTAGTTCTGATTGGCGCTACGCGGGTGGCCAGAAGTGACAAATTAATGATACAAAAAGATTGACGTTCAATGTATCTAGTAAGTCTGAGTATTGTCTTTATTTAGCTGTTTGTCCCGTGTCTTTTTCTTGTTATCGATAGGTCTACTTTGTGTAGAGAATGAATACGAATTTCTCGCTTTTTCTGTTTTGCCCCCTGATGGGGAGCTTGAAGTCATAATAAGACATCGCAGAAATTGATAAGGGGACAATAGTGACATTTGTTCGAACGACCAAGATGCCATAAAAAGTTCTAAAGCATAGTATTTTGACAATTAAGTTGTGACATGCAAGTATTGAGAGTGAACGTACAAAATGTCGACAATAATGATTATAACATATACAAATGAGGGTTCCTAAAGGCCTGTAAATTTTTAATGCCTTCAAAGGAATTAACAATTAGAATAACGATTCTTATATACGTATTAACATGTAGTCCAGATAGACTCACATTACAATCTTTGCTCATCGGCGAGGTTAAACACTCGATCCATGTTCTCCGATCACCATTTGCTCATTCTTCATCTTCTACTTCATCATCACCTAACGCCAATTGATTTTCTCTCTCTTTAACTAGAGTCTCGATCTGTTTCCTCATCCAAGCAGACATATACTTTGGTTGTAGTTCATAGATTGACATTAGGCATGCTGTCGAGAAGGCGAACAAGAGAACATCACCGTCTCTGTTGATAGATATAAGCGAAGACGGAATTTGTTACAAAAGGACCATAATAGCCTTTCATGCACTCTCGCTACACAAACCGCCTAATGTACAAAATCCATTGCTACTAACCTGACGTTCTTCACTTTTCCGGTCTTTACCAACACTTTCCAAAACGACTCGAGTGATAATCTGAGACTATACATTCCAATAGCAAGCTGACGCTCTTTGGGCTCCACCAGCACCCACAGCCCACCAAGAAAGCCGCCAAGACAGATCCTGAATTGGAAAGAAAAAGATTGTTAGGTAAACATTGATCATTCAATGAAATCACGTGATCAATTCTTACCTCGTCGTTGGCATGAATTTATTAGGAAGTATCGATTGAAACAAGCAAATGCTTGCCCATGATGTTCCAATTGAATTCGATATAAATGTGGCAGTCTGAGTGGCTGATGGAAGCGTATTGAATATAAATTTGTAGAAAAACCGACATGGGCTAGTAATTAGAATAAAAAAGGGTATTAGCTGTAAAGCCTATAAAAGACATATAAGCTCATCACCCATGCTACAACACAGTAAATAAGGGGTCACCCATGTGTGCCTAATAAAGACCTCGAAACCTCATCACCAATACCATTCAAATTCGATACAAAACAAATCCGTTCACCGTCTATCCATCTCTCTTCACCCTTTGACTTTTCGCGCAGTTTTACACACTCACCTTTTTCGAATCTTGTTGATTTTCAACACATACGGTAACAAAAATAAAACAAGAGAATACTTTAAGGCACTTGTAAACTCTTTGTTTACAAATTTCCATAAAGTAACCCAACAACTTGGTTCATCAGGATGCATCAAGGCACACACCATTCGACTGTGCGCCGGATGAGCTGACTCTAATACTGGCTGAATCGTACGCAATATGGAGGGTAAGGCAGGACCATCGCGATTGATTTTAGGAGAACGGAAAATGGGGTAGTTCAACGTGGTCAATGTCGCAAGAGAGGAGAGGATTTCGGTTCGCGATGGCCATGGGTAAGGCGAAATGTGATCCGGTGGAAGAGGTGGTAGGTACGTGCTCGAGCGGGAAGTTATGAAACGGGAATATGCTGCCTGAATTCGAAAATTTGTAGCCAAAGTGGGAATGGATTATGAGAAGAGGCGATGTATTTAAATACGAAATAGAATGGGAAGAATTAAATTTTTGTTAATATATATTGATTTACATTGAATTCAAAATAAATTGCATAAAAATCTATACAACACAAACAATTCAGACATCAAACGCAATTATGCTTACCTGAAACGTATCGGGATGGTATAAATAAGCATATATCAACTGTGCTGAACTTAGCGGAAACAGTAGCCACGCCCCCATCCATTTCGGCAACTGTGGGATCACCTTTATGCCCTGCAATAGCTTAAACCCAAACTCCAACACCTTAACAAACAGAAACACTACTATTATGTTCCGAGTATTCTGGTTTTTGACTAGTCGGAATGTTTGAGAGGCAATGAGGGCCGACAGGAATGGCGGTATTAATCGAATAGGGATGTACTGCTGAACAAAACTACGCAAGATTGACCTCGTCGCGCGCTCGTCATCTCTGACGCTAACAAACTGGCCCGACACGCTTGTATCGAGATCTGTATCCGTTCGTGCTTGTAAGTTTGCATAAGTTGTTTGCTCGACTGCACGGAATAGGGTCCTATACAGGAAGATGTATATGGACACAGATAAAGCAAATCGGTTGGGCGAGAGGGTGCGGGCTGATTCAACAAGTTTTTTAAACCTTTTTTTTTTTGCAAGTATGAGATGTTTTAATGGTAGAGGAGATCGTTAAAATTAGTCGGAGCAAAGTGGTGGAGTGGTTTAAGAAGAACAAGATGCAAACAGAATGCATTATTCGAATTTTTACATAGTCATAATACTAGTATATAGTGATTCTGCACATGTTCACGTACGTGATAGTCTTTGCTCCAACAGCTTGGGTAATTCCGTAGACTAATCCAATAGCCGTCATTGCTGCATATCCCAGTGCGTATGCTTTAATGCTTCTACGAGAAGTATCTGGAAGACATGAGTCGTGCAGACATAATGCAGCCGAGAGAGCAGACGTGTGGTTGTGGGGATTTCTTCTATTAGCATTGATATAAGGAGGAGTAAAAAGCGGGTATGATGGATATCACAGACGGAAGCGGGATAAATGATTAGTAAATTAGCGATTAGTTATAAGATCAGAAACCAACTTCCTACCAATTCTTTCTCAATTTGCCGTTAAGTTCTACCCCCAAAACCCCAGCATCAATGCAAATCTCTCCTTATCGTTATAAATGAACAATTCCCTCATCTGCCTCAAACTCTATATATGCCAACCATCACCATTATTACCATCTCTTTCCTTCGCCAACAATTCTCTCGCAAATATTTATTATCAATTGTTAGCATACACTCACCTAAGAACACTCTCAAACAGCTCCGAATCCGGAGAACCTCCTGCCGAATCATGGTCATTGCCTCTTAATGCTGACGAATTTCTCGTTAAGTCATATACTTTTTTCACAGCTTTGTAGTCGTTCTTATTTAATATGAAGGTGAGTATAAACAATATCTTTAAGTTTGTGTCTCGCTGTGAGGTTGTTGAAAGGGATGGTAGAAACGGAGGTGGTGAAGGGGAAGGGGAGGGGGAAGAAGAAGAAGAAGAAGAAGAAGAGTCAATGAGAGCTGGATCAAGAGACATTAGTGGTAGCAATTAGTATCTAAACAAGAATTGGATATATCTAATAAATAATATGTATATATTTTTTCCGAATGATCTACTTTATGTCGAACTTGTCTTTTAATAGTCTCGCCACGTTCTCATGCTTTTTTAAATTTGGGTAAGAAAAAAATCTTGGTAAAAAATGCTTAATTCACAAGATGTGATCACGGGATCATGGGAGGGTCTGGAGTATTTGCTATTGTTTACGGGCGATTTACTATTACTATTTATATTACCCACTCGTGAGTATAAACTATATGTCGAGTTACACAACTTCATCTCTGGCTTTTGAACGAAGAAACTGTCTATATAAGTCACATGCACAAGTCCTCATTTCTAGTAGCGTCTACTAATCACAAATACTTTTCCTATGAATACACGCACGTGATCAGCGTCATTATGTCGGCGTTACCAATTTCTAGAAATTTGATTAATCAAGTCATACCAGACAATGGGTTTATTCAAAAGTATCGCACACTTACAAAAGATTATTTACACCATATTTTCTCTTTATTTGTTGCATTATGAAGTCTATTCCCAGAGAAACTTGTAACAGTATCCTGCTTCTATCGTATAAATTGCTGCACAATTAGGTGTCAGCCATGCTACAATAGATAGAACATGTGCAAAGTCAAGAATGGATATATAGAAAAGTTGTGGCAGATGATCAACAAAACTTAAAGCCACTGATAAGCATAGGCTATTTTGTGTGAACGCGATGGGTTATGCGAATCATAATCATATTAGCCGTTACATATAAACGCCACTATAACCACATGTCTAGACGAATATTCCCGATCACTATTCCTTCTAAAATTTACCCTACACCACTTAGTTTAGTGATGTTATAATACTCTTCGCTTGGCGTCGAGCGGTAATGTCATCACAACGGAATAGTCAAGTAAATATAAAACCATAACATTATTATAGGCTAACGAATAACTAGGAAAACGGAAACCGTTAAAAAGTCCGTCGCAAAAAGGAAAGATTTTAGCGTTTTTAGTACTATTATTTACGTACAATCAATATGCATACTCGATATCACTTAATCATTTGTGGGGTTATTTACACATTATCCTATGATTTATGTGATAGTGTAGGTTGGATTAATCTCTCTACATCGATAGATTTTCCTATTTGTTTAAAAAGAATAGTATATAAAAATAATATACGGCCATGTAAAATTTATTAATTTTGTTTTCTGTTCTTATTTGTATCATTTCTGGTTACCGTCCTCGATAAATTCTCAAATATATTAACTTGCTTTTTCTTGTGTTATTTGGTTGTTCTATGTATGGTACATCGTTATTATCGTCATGAGTGTCTACTTCGGTAATATTTTCATGAATTAACAAGAAATGTTTTGCAAATGTCGCTAATCAAGAAGATGATGCGAGCACAGATTGTTCTTGGCGAATTTGTGCAATCTATTAGTTTGGCTAATTTGGTTATCCAAGGAATCTTGATATGTAAAGATTCTGTTGTGATGAGGTACTTGTTAATCTTTTATAGGTTGGCTGGTGGTGCTGTATTTATAAGTTATGATTAACTGAATGTTTCGGTTATTTATGGTAGTCAGACGATTTAATAGCAATTGATCATAGGATAAATTCTTGTTAGCGTTTTAATAACATATATGTTTCAATTACTTCATGATGATAAGTTTCTAAATCGATGATCATATCGATCGTATGACTTACAATTATCTATCGTGCTATGGTGTAGGCTTATCTGTCACCTAATCGCCATATCAAAGTTATTCTGACTCGAGAGTTGCATGGACCAATGAAAATTTTTTTATTTGCATGCCGTTCTTCAAACAACCATTAAGAAGATGGGTTGACATTATTGTTCGACAGATATGGTTTTACTCGAATGGCGAGACGAGAGTATTATTTGTAGTCGAATGCTGGTTGCTA